ACGAGAGTGATCGAGATTCAGAGAAGGAAGCAAATATCTCTCCTTTTTTTCAATTTCAAACAAGAAGAAATTTTTTTTTGTCTCTGTTGATCGAGAGCACCGAAAAAAAATAATATGAGTCTTAGTTGATCGAGACTTAGAATTCAAAAGAAAAAAAAATAGCCGGTCTCTGATACCATGTCAAAGAACCGTACGAAATTGATTCATTCAACTTGTCCAACAGAGTTTACAAAGACTGAATAAATAAATACAAAGAGAAGCCCTAAAAATATACACAAAATCTCTAAAATATCAAAACATATCTCTACCAAAAATATAATATTCACAAGATCACACTAACATAAATCAAACTAAGGGGGGTGTATTTAATTAGGATTTGTAAGGACTTTTTAAGACTTTAGAAATCCTGGTGTATTCAATTTAGATTTGTTAAGACTTTTTAAAACTTTTAAAAATCCTGGGGTATTCAATTGGGATTTTCAAAAGTCTTACAAAATCCTGAGGTATTTAATTTTTTTGACACTAGGATTTATTAAGACTTTTTAAGATTTTGTGGGATTTCTAAACAAAAAACCTTATATGAAATCCCACTTCAAATCCTACCTCCGGACTTGAGATTTCATAAAATTCTTCCAAAATCTGAAAATCCTAGAAAGTCTCAAATCTCAAAAAGTCTTAAAATGTCACTTAAATTCCGAATTGAATACACCCTTATAAATCTCAAGGTGTTTTTTCTGCAATTAATGCAAGATACTAAAACACCATTTTCCTTTTCTTTTTTCTTTTTACACAAGGCATTCTGAGATGAGGTTTTCAAGTAATTAATGCAAGATACTAAAACACCATTTTCCTTTTCTTTTTTCTTTTTACACAAGGCATTCTGAGATGAGGTTTTCAAGTAGATCTCATGTATGATCTTGCACTTTCTGGTTAAAGTCCCGCATGGCATTGCCATGTAACAAATAACAAAAGAAAAGAAAAAAGAACAAATAATAATAAAAAATACCGACGCCTGTTTATCAAATAATCCGTTCAAAATAAGTTATTTTGGTTAACCATAGATAATTTTGAAAAATATGTTATGATTAGTTATTAGTGAAATTTTAAGAATGTATTAAAATAATATCTATCTATACTTATATAATAAGAATTAACATTTATCCAAAATAGTAGGTCAAATTATGGTCAATGTCTGATTTGCATTAAATATTTTCCAAAACCGGTAAGTTTTTGTCCTTTTCACACTTCTCATTAATTATGTCCTTTTCACACTTTTCATTAATTATGTCCTTTTCACACATCTAATTAAATCATTATCCATAAAACACTGAAGTTAATTTATTCATCATATAATAAGAAGCAAAAATATTACAAAAAGATAACATTATAAATTATTTCCCTTATCCCAACTCACTACTACAATTACATACTTCCGAAAATTAAAAATTGCCCCCATAACATCGTTCTTAGTATAGATTTTACCATTTTGCTAAATAAATAAAAAAGGGTTTTGGGGGCAAAATCGGATCACGGTCCTCATTCAATTATCTTTAGTAATTGATAGAGATTATTAGTTATCGGGCTCTACCCAGAATGGGGCCGGGAGCCCTTTGTGAGGAACTGGAAAAGGAGTGTACTCTATAGTACCTTTTGAGCCAACAACTTCCCACCTGCACTCGAGCATAAGATCAAATAAATTAGTTGAAATCTTTAAATAAGATATGATAATTAAATTAAATGTCGAAGTAAAATCAGTAAGATATTCTTAAGTAGTTAGCTAACGGTTAGTCTCAAACTAAAAATTTCGAGATATTTGGTTAATGATAGCACACGTTTTTATTTCAAGGAGCGGATATTCTTTGACCTTTAATTAATCTGAACTGATTGCCTTGACTTTTCAATATTTAAAAACTCTTTTTTTTAAAAACTCTTTTTTTATCGCACGTTAATCTTTTTTTGAAGAAACCCGTTTTTAGTCACGGCCAATTATATGTTGTTGTTTCACGTGTAAATAATAAAAGGGGGTTGAAAATATTAGTTTGTGATAATGAGGAGTTACCAAATAATCAAAGTCAATGTGTTGTGTACAAAAAGGTTTTTAATAATATATGATTGTTACCGAACTTTTGATGATTCAACAATGTTCATATGCATTTTAATGATTTCAATTTCGATCTTAATGCACGTGAGATTATATTATTCTTCCAAATTTTACATCCCGTGCATCGCACGGGTTACGTACTAGTTTAAAATAAAATGATTAAAACTAATTTAATGTAAAGTAAGAGATAAATGATTGAAAATGATAGACAATTAAAATTATGTGAATAGATGCATGGTGAATTAAAGTTGATGTGCTATGTAACAATAGTTGGTTTATATTATTTAATTATATGAATAATATTAAAGATAGTGGAATTAAGTTAAAGTCGAGTTAGATTTTAATTATGAAATAAATGTTACTAAATTAACTTGTAAATAATTAAGCCTTTAACCATTGATGCTAAGGTTATAATTAAATTCCAATCAATATATATATGGAACAACTATAGATAAAACAAAAGGCAATAGGAAAGAACACACTGAAATGAGAGTGAAATCTAACACATCCACATCGTATTCAAACTTTCAATCCTGATGCTTTCTATCTCCTCTTCCCACCTTCAGTAATTTGAATTTCTACAAGACAATGGTAACAAAAGTATCCTAATAATATTTTTGGTCACACATAATTTTACGATGTTTTAATTTTATGCTGTTTTTTCTTGTTCAAGATCAGCATGAGGTATACCATTGCCACTCTCGGCTGACCTCTGTTCAGGAATTCTTACATCCTTTGAGACCAATGGAGATGGTTTTATGAGTGTCAGTGTCTCATCCTTGTCAAACTCTTCACCGGCATCTTCAGAAGAGTAAGCATATCTACCAAGAATAAAAGGTATATTAAATTTAAAGAATTCACAGAAAAGGTACTTAGGTAACACTCAGAATGAGAATCAGAGCCAATCAAACAGCCTATTGTTATTTAAAAAGAAAGAGAAATAAGGAAAAAGGCAACAAAAAAAAAAAACAAAGGTTATTCTCAATTTATCGTCAACTGTTAGGACATATAGTTCTCTAGCATGATAGTTGCTCAAACATAATAGTCATCATTGTATTAATCGGTCATTATAAAGCTAATTAGTCTTCATCAGTCAGCAACATTTGATGTAAATGAGAGTGGAACTTGTGTTCATACTCTAGGGCAATAACTGGAAAAATTAGATGGAGAAGAAAAGATTATACTATTGAAGGGTAGGGTAAGTGGATGCCAAGACAGAAGGTATATGATTTTTTTTCAAAGAAACAAATATCAAATAAACAATCATTTGATTATACAAATTATCAGTCTGAGAAAGATGTATACCGCATTGAGTTCTGTGATGGGGCCCAAAGAGCACAAATGACGCACAAGAGAGAGAATGACAAGACTTGCCAGAAGGCAGGAATGATCCAAGCATTCTGCCATTGCTCATTGTAAACATCATTTGACTTGAAATAGAGCTGTAATATCGCAAGCAAAATGTCTTAATTCATAACAAACAAAAACCATGACATACAAAATAAAGTAGGAATATTAACTTTTGTGGTCCTTTTCAACATCATGCTTAGCACACGTATAAGTTCTTTCATTTATCACCAAAGGCAACGCAAACAGATTAAGAAATTGTGTTGAGAATTTTGATATCAAACAGCATTAACCGCTCTGCTTTTGGCAATGTCAATTCATTAAAAGAAATTTGATTTAGTCGCACTTTCTTGGAGGTTATTATGATTTAGGTTCTGGTAAGTGGTAACATACATACATGATGTAAATTGTTTATGACTCAAATTTGTCAGGGTAAGCATTGGTCTTTTTTGTCCAATTTCTGTATGTTGGCATAACAAAGAATCAGCCGTATTACCTCATAGCAAATCCAACCAACAGACACAATTACTGCAACGGCTAATGCATTCGTGAACTTCCTGTAAACATCTAACTTAGCAGTCATTCTCCTAGCCTGTTACACCAAGTGAAAATGTGATTCATGCAGGTAATCTCAATAGAGAAAAATTCAAATTATTATTCCTGCTGATGCATGAAACAAGAAATGGACACTATGTTGGACGAGCATGGAAAAGTAAAAGTATTTATAACTTGAGCACACGAGAAAGAATTTATTGAATCCACAAATAAACCGGAAAGGAACATCAATACCTTACCCCAATCACTTACAATTTAGGGATCACCAAAAAGACAACAAACAAAACAACATTTATTTCAGAGTCATGATCAACAGGCAACCAGCCAGTCAAATAATAACCAATGAAAATGCTTGTCATGTAAATATTTTCATTTTCCCGTTTCTATCAAAACTAACTATTCCAGCTTCAGACTACATTCAGAAATTGATGATGAGAAACCCTAACATAAAACTAACGTACCAAGTTGAAAAAGCTTTCAACTAAATATATACAAACAAACAGTAAAAGAAAACGAAATGTCTACCTGAAGCTTGTTTAAAGTCGAAGAGAGGGAAGTAAATATCCAGAGGATGAAAAAAGCATCCAAAATCGCCACAGGAAGCGCAAAAAACAGCCTTGCCTTCCCCGAGAGATCACTGATCGTGCCAACATTTTCTATAATCTCAAGAATTTCAGATGCTACAAAGAAAGTCCCACCGAGCAAAATAACCTTGGACGTAAGACCACCCAACGTGGGCCGAACCACACCATAACCCATAGACACAATGAGAATAATCAGTCGCGACACAGTACGTTTCACTATCCCAAAAGTGACAGCCCATAGAGTGGTCCCTGTCGGCCTCACTCCAGTCTCATTGAACTCGGCATAGTCAAAGTACCAAAAAGCCATCTCAAACATACCCAAGGTAATCACGAGCGTAATACAGTTCTGCAAAGGAAGAACCTCTTTCCAGAACCTCGCGTACTGGGAAAACCAGAATATCCCGAGCAGCACGAATGCAAGGGACATGAACCCATAAAACTTCATGAGGGGAGCCATTCGGCCAGGCAAGTAACCTGTTGGGTTTTTCCAGACGGTTTTGCCCTCTACATAAATCTCCTTGAGATTAGGGTCACAGTGAATGAAGTAAAGGTTGTACATTCCAGTTTTAGTGATCTGTATGGACCTCGGCTGCAGGGTGGTCTCCAACGCGTCAATTTCAAACGAGGCACCAAATATTTGAGGCCATCTTGGATTGTTAGTCGACAGGCGGTGAATGATCTGACCTTGCTTGCAGACTCCAAGTTTTGCAAGATCTGATGTGCAGCACACGGCTCGTTGACCTCCATATGCCGAGCCTCCAATTAATTCTCGGTCGTCAACCTCGAACACGACTGCATGAATTGATTCCGAGCTGAAGTTGGAGAGATCCAGAGGCCTTCGGAATGTGATCTTTTCAAATCTAGTTGATAAGAAAGGAAGATTAGCTACTGCACAGAATTAAGTATTATAAGCTAAAAAATGGGACTCTGTCTAAAGAGATGGATCCAGGAAAGCACGCATATCAAAATTAGGAAAAAAAAAAGCATTATTCTGAGTAACTCTTTTCTTTACCCAGATTAATTCGTTTGTCCAACAATCCAAGTTATCAATGATTCAAGCGCTTAGCTTGCTGAAACATCAATGATTCAGTACTTTTCATCCCAATCCATTGCCAATATGTTTCATTAATGTTTTTTTTATAAAAAATGGAATACACATTTCAAAATTAATCTTGATGAGAATATTAGAAATCACCCCAGCAGCTATAGTAACAATAGAAGCTGTTTATCCACTTATACGGTTAAAATATTCATCATGCATCAGTGTCGGTAGTTATCATACCATTGCTTGAACACAGAAATGCAAGGCATCTATCGAGCAGTTACATGAATCACTGGAAGCATGAATTCATGATTAAGCTTCTAAGCTGCAAATGCTTCAACATTGGTGCAAATCACAATTTCCGGAAAAACAAACAAGAACAATCTTAACTATCCAGAGCAGCAAATATTACTTCAAAGTCAAATGGATCTCCAAAAAGCATGTCAATTATCACACCTTGTAATTAAAATCCAACAATACATCGAAACCTTTAATTAAATACACCAAATTCCACAAAACAATCAATTGCAGCATAGATATTAAAAGACGCGAAATTTCACCGAATAAAAGAGTCTCCGGGGGAGGACTCGTTGAGAGCAGGTGCGGAAGAGTAAATCCCCTCACTTCCTCCGTGAACAACGAAGGCATTTCCTTTTCCGACGAACTTCTCGCCGGCGTACTCATGCACCGACGCCTCAGTGCGGGGAGCGTAGAGCAGCACCGCCACGGCCAAGGGCAGGATTGCGAATACGGAGCTCAAGTGCAACATTGCTGCTGCGTGCACCTGACTCGAGCTTAGGCGAGTGGATCTGCGGAGAGAGAGATCTGACGCTCAAACAAAAAAAGGAGAGAGAGAAGGATGACTAACTCTGGTTTCCATATTGACTCACCATAGTGCAGGTGCAGGAGACAATGATCCCCTGTGAGGGAGTGCACTAAAAAAAGTCAACTTAAGTCAACGATCTTGATTATTGTTATGTTTTAAGGGGTGATTTTTTATTTTTTTTTAAAAAAAAGAGGGGGTGATTGGATATATAAGTTAGTTTTGATTTAATTGAATTTTTTATTTTTGAAAAAGTTGATTTGAGTTAGGATTGAGTGAAATTTCAAGTTTTTGTTAAAATAATATTTTAAGTATAATAATTAAAGTATATTTGATTTAAAAATAGGAAATAAATGATTGAAAGCAATGATCAATTGAAATTATGTGAGATGATGAATAGTGAATTAAAGTTATTGTGATGTATAAGAAAGACTGATTGATATTATCTAATTATATTGATAATATTGAGGAAAGTTGAGTTGAATTGAATTAAATTTGAATTAAAAATTGTCTGTTCAAAAGTGACAAGATAATTTATGATCAATCAACTGGACAAAACTGAGCACCTAATCGTCATGCAGCATTCAAGAGCACCAAGTTTTCCTAGGCATCTGTTTTAGGACTAGACATTGCCTAGATGGTATAGACAACTTGGAGTTAGTCTTGTTTACAAGACGATCTATGCCATACGGCATTCAAGAGCCACAAGTTTGTCTAGTGTCACGCCCTTGTTCCTCGAACCTTGGTTGCGTGCGGCCTTAGCCCCTCGTGCGCTCTTCGCAGCTAGCTAAGTCAGCCTTACCGTGCCTGGAACGTGTTCGGTGTGTGCAAGTGCTTGGCAAGAGAATATGCAAGGGAGAATAAAAGGAAAGTGCTTGTACTATTATTCACACAAACTTTGTACAAGAGTGCTTGATGGTTGCTTGGATGCTTTGCAAATGAGGGGGCCTCTCCTATTTATAGACACCACCTCCTCTAAGGAACCTTCTAGGTCCTACAAGATCTTGAGGGTTCTAGTCCCTTCTACAAAAGTCCTACTTCATACACACAAGTCCTAGAACCTTCTACATACTTCATGCCCTAATTACAAGCCTCTAAATGGTTCTAGGACCTTCATGTCCCTACTACATTTATCTACATAATTCTAGGGCCTTCTAGAAGCTCCTAGACAAAACTAGCCCCTTCTATATACAAGACTTAGGCATGGGGCGCCTTAAGTCGTCAAAAGCATGAGTTGGCCCCGTGCGTGCGCGTGCGGTGCGTGTCCTGCCTGCGTGCGCGCGGGGCTGTTCAGGTCGTCGCGGGTTAGGTGGTGCGGGGCGTTACACTAGGCATCCTTTTTAGGACTTGACATTGCCTAGATGGTTCTTAGTCATGTTTACTCGACGATCTATGCGGTGTTTGGACGTATATATAAATTTTGTTACATATTTTTAAATTTATATGTAAATTTTTATATAATTAAATTTTTATTTTTATAATAATAATAATAATAATAATAATAATAATAATAATAGTGTTTTAATTACTATATGTAAATATATTGCATTTTAAAATAATATATATTTAATTATATTAATTAGTATATTTTATTATATATGATAATAATTTTAAACAACTTTATTAATATTTATGATTACGACCTCGCCTATCAACGTTTAGCTTTTCTATTAATAATGGTTGTCACTTTTATGTTTTTGCCCTTTTCAATAATCAAAGAAGAAAAAAGAGTAAATTTGTAGGAGTCATGTATAACCGAATTCAAGAGAACACGAAGAAATTATGTTCAAGATTATAGATTAAAAAGTAGAACTGTGTAGAGTCTAAATTATGCACAAACAAATGTATACCATAAAGTGTTCATACTCCAAATAAAATCAAAGATAGAGGTATGTGGAGTAAATACTCGCACACAAAATAAATTTTGTACAAATTACGTACAAAAAGTGTACATTAGAAAAATAGTGGAAACACATTGTGAGGTTATTTGTTAGAATAATTTTGTGAATATTGTATTTTTGGTATTGATAGATTTTAGTATCTTAGAAATTTAATGTATATTATTTTAGGACTTCATTTGTATCTATATATGGGGACTCTGATACTATATTAATTGTTAAAAGAGCAAGACATGAGTTAGAAACACATTCAATAAACCTATTACTACATGGTCACTCAAAATCTTCTAAAAACAAGTTATGGATCAACATATTATAGTTTTCCGGAGTGCAAAACACGAGTTTAAAACACATCCAAAAGATATCATAGCGTATTAGATTCGATAAACCGATAGGCCTAACCACGTCCTATAACTATAAAGAAGAACAAAAGAAAAATAAAAGAAGTGAGTGAATTATGGGTGAGTGTGTAAAATAATAAAATTGTAGCATTTGTATATCATGCTAAGAAAAAGTTATTATTCCAAAATTTATGGACCGAACCCGATTCAGAGTAAGAAACAAAAGAAAGTTAAAAAAAAAATAATAATAATAAAGATGATTGATTGTGGGTCATGCTCATGTGTTGACCTGTCTTCTGCTCATTCCCACTCCACATCTGTCTTTGGCTCTGTTTTTCTTTTACCTGACAAATAATTATCCCATGAATATGTCATCCAAAGATTGGAACACTTTTTAGAATCATTTTGCGACCAGATTCAGGCCAAATTTTTATTCTTAAAAAAAAAAAAAAAAATCTTTGTTTCTTCTAGAGGTTTTCGCAATACAATTTATTCGACTCTCGAAAACACGAGCCCGACTCGTGTATATATTTAAATAAATTAGACCTCAAACAAGTAATAGAGCTCGAATCATAAACAAGCAAAGTGAACTATTTCTGAATTAACTTTTTTTTTTTTATTATGGATTAAATGTAATAGTCGAACCGAAATTACTCGCGAACAAACATTAATATTCGCAAACAACTCGTTTAATGTTTTAAGTTTATTAAATAACACCAGTCTCAGTTGAAATATTAAGATATGGAGATATAGGAACAAAGGTCACTATGAAACACCAACTAAAACACCATTGGAATATTAAGATCAGTAAAAAAAGACGGAGATATAGGAACAAATGTCAATCATTTTACACGAAAAATGTCAAAAGACCAAAGTTGAAATACTAAAATCAGTAAAAAAATGGAGATGTAAAAAGACAAAAGTAATTGTAGTACCAAGTTTTTGGTGAATGATACATGAGGTTTTTGGGACCTGCAAGAAAAACTACCATCCCATACGAGTAGCAATATCCAGCTGCATTCACGATAATATTTGTCCAGCAGTCAGTTAAAAGATTTTGGATTTTGCATATGTAAGAATTAATTTTATGAGAAATATAAAACTTTTGTACAATTTGATTTTATTGATCAAACGATATGCGGGTACAATCTCTGTATGGAACTCTCTTATTCTTCTCTTCTTGGATCTTTAACTTGAATATCGTGGATCTTCAAGAACACCAGATCTTCAAAACACCTTTGGATCTTCAAGAGAATTATTGAAAGCTCATTGATTTGATACTTTAATTTATGAGATGTGTTGATTTATGAGGTGTGATTTGTGGCATTGGAGAGAGCCCTATTTATAGGTGTAAGAGAGTCTTTGAGAAAAAGAAATCAATATGATTGGTCCTTCATGATTTGATATAATCTTTTTCTTTATTCTAAGATTTGATATAATCTCTTTCTTTCTCATAAGATTTGATTTGGTGGACAAGAAATATTTATTTTATTAATTAAATATCTTATTCATCTTGGATTTATCGTCCAAAATAAATAAAAACATTAATTAATAAAATATTAAAATATCGATGTCTACAAATGCCCCATTCAGACTTGTTCACGGACAAAATATCTTGGCAGTGAATGAGTCTCAAAATTTTAGATTTGGTTGAGACATGAAGATAGTTTAAACTCTTATCTAGGAGTTCTTCGACTTGGGTTTGTAGATAGTTTAAACTCATATCAAGGAGTTCTTCATTTGACTTGATTCGTAGATAGTTTAAACTCGTATCAAGGAGTCTTGATTTGATTTAACAGATAGTTTATACTCGTATTAAGGAGTTCTTCATATGACTTGATATGTAGATAGTTTATACTCGTATCAAGGAGTTCTTCATATGACTTGATATGTAAATAGTTTAAACTCGTATCAAGGAGTTTTTCATTTGATTTGATTTTTAGACAGTTTATACTCGTATCAAGGAGTTCTTCATTTGATTTGATTTTTAGATAGTTTATACTCGTATCAAGGAGTTCTTCATATGACTTGATATGTAGATAGTTTAAGCTCGTATCAAGGAGCATTTGAATTTGTAGATAGTTTCGACTCTTGTCAATGAGCATTTGAATATGTAGATAGTTTGGGCTCATATCGAAGAACATTTAAATATGAACATAGTTTAAGCTCATATCAAAGAGCGTTGTAGATAGTTTAAGCTCATATCAAGGAGCATTTGAATATGTAGATAGTTTAGGCTCATCATATCAATGAGCATTTGAATATGTAGATAGTTTAGGCTCATATCAAGGAGCTTTTAAATTTGTAGATAGTTTAGCCTCATATCAAAGAGCGTTGTAGATAGTTTAAGCTCGTATCAAGGAGCGTTGTAGATTTTAAGCTCGTATCAAGGAGCGTTGTAGATAGTTTAAGCTCGTATCAACGAGCATTTGAACATGTAGATTTGATGGAGCTCTTCATGTAATTTGGCCCCATAGAATTTGAGAAGAATATGGAAGACCATTTTTTATTCCTCCATTCGGATGTTTTATGAACACGACGATTTTCGACGACTTCATACCTTGGGGAGACATCATCTTTGGTTGCCCCGTGTACATTTTCTTGAAAGATCTTTGAATTTGATTTGAAGAGAGGTAAAGAATGTCCCACTGGGCGTGCCAAATTTATAACAACAAATTTTATGAAGATCATAAAACTTTTATACAATTTTATTTCATTTCCATCAAAACAGTACTACAACAACACTCCTTTTCCCTCAAAACAGTACTACAACAGCTCTCCTTTTCCCTCAAAACAGCAACACCCCTGTGTTTGAGGTTCAGATATTCGGGGCAATCATAAAAGTCTCTCTGTGTCTGAGAAGGTCTCCAGCAAGCCTAATATTCCTCTGCATCTCACTTGTGGGACGCCCGAATTGTTAACCACAAACACAATTTCTCTGAGAATGGCTCTTCCATTAATATTCCCTCTTGTCATACGATAAAGACGAATCTTCAGTATAGCACTTGGACTTGCATACTGAGTCACCATTTCTTGAGTGGCCTCAGCTCCTGGAAGTATAAAAGTTGGAATCAAATTGCTAATATTCTGCATAGCTGTGCACACCACATTTAAGTAAGTTTCGAAAATAAACCCATTCTATGTCCGTGTTTGAAGTAAGTTTTTACCGTTCGACTGCCTTTTTGTCATCGTAGTAGTCATCCCGATACTTCGAATCTAGGTTCCGGGAGAACTGTCCCAACCTTGAGCGCATATCATCGCTCAATGAGTTGTAAATACCGCGCAGATCATCATCAATGAAATATGAAACCCATCCATGCGGACCTCTAGTCAGACACAAATTGTGAGCACTGAAAGTGTTAGCCTCAGCATTGGGTGCAACATGATGCCACCCATTCTGGTCAGAATTGAGAACAAACTCTCGTGATCGCACATAGTGAGAGCCTAAGTGCAGCGCCTCTGGTGGCCGAGGATCATCCTTAGACCAATGAGGTGGATTACCGAACCCTACCCCTGTGAAAGAATACATAGCCATTGTGAAGATGAAGATCTCGAATTGGAAAAGCTCCAAAACCCTAGGGGTTAAGGGTTTTTGTGAAGGTGCAGATGTCGTACTGTGTTTCTATGGAAAAGCTCCAAAACCCTGAGTTTAGGAATTTTTCCAACACGAGATCTTCACCTTCACAATGGCTATGTATCCTTTCACAGGGCAGGGTTCGGAAATCCACCTCTCTACTGGTCTAAAGATGATTCTCGGCCACCAGAGACGCTGCACTTAGGCTCTCACTGTGCGCGATCACGTGAGTTTGTTCTGAATGATTCTGAACAGAATGATTGGAATTATGTTGCACCGAGGCTAACACTTTCAGTGCTCACAATTTGTGTCCGACTAGAGATCCGCATGGACGAGTTTCATTTTCATTGATGATGATCTGCACGGTATTTATAACTCATTGAGCGATGATATGCGCTTAAGGTTGGGACAGTTCTTCCGGGACCTAGATTCGAAGTGTCAGGATGACTACTCCGGTGACAAAAAGGCAGTGTTCTACTATAAGTTTTTGGTAAACACTTACTACAAACACGGACATGGAATGAGATTTATGTTCGAGACTTACTTAAATGTGGTGTGCACAGCTATGCAAAATATTAATAATTTGATTCCAAATTTTATACTTCCAGGAGCTAAGGTCACTCAAGAAATGGTGACTCAGTATGCAAGTCCAAGTGTTATACTGAAGATTTGTCTTTATCGTGTGACAAGAGGGAATCTTAATGGAATATCCATTCTCAGAGAAATTGTGTTTGTGGTTAGCAATTCAGACGTCCCACAAGTGATGCAGAGGAATATTAGGCTTGCTTGAGACCTTCTCAGACACGGAGAGACTTTTATGATTCCCCCGAATATCTGAACCTCAAACACAGGGGTGTTGCTGTTTTGAGGAAAAATGAGGGTTGTTGTAGTACTGTTTTGATGAAAATGAAATAAAATTGTACAAAAGTTTTATGCTCTTTATAAAATTTGTTGTTACAAATTTGACACGCCCAGTGGGACATTCTTTACCCCTCATCTCTTCTCTTCAAATCAAATTCGAAGACCTTTGAAGATACATGAAGACCTCTTTGAAGAAAATGTACACGGGGACCGGGGCAACTAAGGATGATGTCTCCCCAACCTATGAAGTCGTCGAAAATCGCCGTGTTCATAAAACATCCGAATGAAGGAAACAAAAATGGTCTTCTATATTCTTCTCAAATTCCATGGAGAAGAAGAAGAAGAAGAAAAAGGAAGATATGATTGGTCCTTCATGATTTGATATAATCTCTTTCCTTATCCATAGATTTGATATAATCTCTTTCCTTATCATAAGATTTGACTTGGTGGTCAAGAAATATTTACTTTATTAATTATTTAATCTTATTCATTTTAGATTATATACCAAAATAAATAAAGACATTAATTAATAAAATATTAAAATTTCGATTTCTACAGCACGTACATTCGTCAATCCATGTCGAGAAAATCCATTCTCCTTTTCATGGTGCCCTTGAGTTCCGAAGACTCCCTTTCTGCTTTTTTAGCCTAAAAATGATTAAAAAATATATACTTAGCAAAACACAGACCTATTTGAATTGAGGCCCAATTATAACAAATGCACAATACAACTGAAAAAGGAAACAAAAATTGTTTTAGTAACAACTTTCAAAATAAAAAATATCTTACACGCATCTCTCTTTATAACTGACCTGTTTGAGAAATATTTTAGAAATAAACACAGACCTCTGTTGGCTATTTATAATTTTAAGAGACAGCTAGATTTTATTTTATAAATTTCATCTTTTATAAATTAGATCGAACCTCGAGCACATTTAATTATCTGTCATAACTACAAGTGCAACACCAAAATCAAAACAGAACATCAAAAGATAAAGTTTGTACCTTCTTTATTTTTGTCACTTCCACACGAGTCATATGTGAGGGAAGTTCTTCCTTCTCCAAGTCCTGACAAATAATAATAATCACATCTTATGTATATAATATATAAGATGAAAGAAAATAAGAAGAACCTCACAAAATTAATTTCCCACAAAAGAAATACAACACATACCAGCTCTCCAATCAAGACGACATTTTCCCCAGGAATTATATAAAGACCTAATGGTATGTCACAATATAGGTCACCAACAATAACGCGTTCGCATGCACCTTCTAGAACAGCATTAGCTAAACAAGATAGCAAATTATGTTACGCAAACAATAAAAACAAGGGAGAGTCAAGTAAAAAAAGAATTATATTGCAAATTTAATTGCCGAATTGATCAAAGGAACGAAGTATCCCCATTAGTTTCGGCCATCTCAGAGTAATACAAGAAGTTTTTCTGGAAAAAAAAAATGAAAAAAAGAAAGAACATATCTCAAATCAGAATGCAATGACGCAAATGAACTTGACGAGGAAAAATGATACAGTATTCATTGAAAATGACGATAAAAACAATTGAGTTCAGCATACTTCAACTACCAGAAAGACCACAAATACAATTACATTACAAAGATTCTGGATATGAAAGTAAATTTTCTTGTTGCTACAAGGTAAATGATTTACAAGAAACTTTGACAGAGAACGTATGAGGTTAATCTCTCATATCATACCGAATAAACTCTTTTTATAACCACTGGAACTGAAGCAGTTTCAATTATATACATAGATGTGGTTGAGCACGTAAAAGCTTGGATTATGAGGACAGTAGAGGAAATAATTAACAAAAAAATGCCAAAAGTTATTGTAGTTGCAACACATTGATTAGTCAACTCAAATTGATATAATTCTCTCCAACTTGAGTAACTATATCAAATGGCAGATTTTTCAATTTTTCATAGATAAACATTGCAAGTTATGGAACATCAACAGCTAACGTCCCAACACACCTCATAACTCTGACAGACAAAAAGCCAAAAGCAAAATTAGGATAGAAAAAGATATTTATTAAGTTTATTACTGGATTTCCACATATCTGGATCGTTACCCTCCAAACTGTTCCAAATCTAGCTAAATCAATAGACATCTAGTTTTTGTAAACCTCGGAAATAGTCTCAGATTTGTATGCTTGTATTAAAATCTATAGTTCCCATTTCATCTTTCACTAGAAAGGTATCAGTCACTAACAATATTCACAACTTTGCTAGTTACAGTAAGATTATCAAAGTAAAAATCTTTATATATTAAGAAGATGGCGGCAGCGTAAATTATAACTGGCCACAAGGTAGACCAATTAAAAAGAACCTAAAAAAAATGTTATCAAACTTCTTTAACAAATTCCTACACTATATTTTACTCCCTTCCCCTCAAAACAAGATATTGTGATTCCTTACTTCAACACAGCGTGCAAATTCCCCAATCAAAAGCTAAAATCAGATAATTGGTACACGAAATTACTTATGAGAAAATAATTAAAAAATTGTAACACGCTCCCTTTAGTTTTTCTCAGCTGCAATTCTAGCTTAAACATGCAAAACCCATAGCTAAAGGTAAGTTCTTATTACATGAGACACACAAACACGCATTCTTAATTGAAAAAAACTCAGTAATTCAGAATTTTCAGTGAGACCCACTTAACCAATACAGACAAGAACTCAAGAACCAATAATGGCACAGTTCAAACACCCACAAAAAAATCAACAAGAAAATGCCAAGGACAGAGCTCCCAGAAAGCAAATGTGCATTACTTTCTCATTTTCAATTCTCACAAACACAGAGACACACACAGAAAGAGAATGGCCCAATTCAAGAAAAACACACAGAGAACACACACTTACCGTCCAGATAGCTTGCAAGAGAAGTGGAGAGGTAGATATCTTCCGGGCCCGCCCAAGACATTATTGACCCGAAAACAAAGCTTCAATCTTTCCGTTATTCTCCAAAAACAAACCGAAACAAATTGCATTGGCAGCTCAAACTATCCCTTTAATTGCCAATTTTCGGCAAGTTTCCTAAGACCGGATTCAAGAAAATGAGAAGGATATTAAAGTTTTTTGGGAACTTGGATAGTCGGAGTTGACTTTTGGTCGAAGACCGGATCTGTGCCAGAAACCCTTGACGGCCAGCTGCGGCGGGTGTTGGGGTTTAGGGCTGGTGCACCAAGGTTTCCCCTGCTCCTGTTCTGCCCTGGTATTGGGCGAGTTGGGGCCATCGGCGGGGGCGGCTTTGACATCGGTCGGTTGGCGGCGACCGCCGATTGGGCGAGGGGAACTTGGATAGGGGTCCGCTGATGTCGTTTTTGTGGTGGCCTTTTGGGAGGGTTTCGAGACTTTTGATCCGATTTTAGTTAGCCGCATAAGGAGTTTCTTGTTTCGTGTTTGGACCAGGGGTCTGGTCTTCTCGTTTGGTTGCCTTAGTGTGGGTTCGCTTGGAGTGTTTGGGAGTGGCTCCTTGGCATGTAGGGAGGGCTTTATTTTAGCTTTTAGGTTTTTTTCTTGTGCATTTTTTTAAAGATTCTCTCCGGGAGTGTGTTTGGTGTAGTATGCATTAGTATGTGGATTCTCTTCTTGGGAGCTTTTTGTAGTTCTAGGCTACGCTTTTTGTAGTTCTCCATGTTTGATTCAGATGAGTAGTTGTTTTATTCAACCGTTTAATCGTAATCAAGCTTGTAAATTTTATAATTATTTATAAAAGTCTATTGTTCTGAAAAAAAAAAAATTGTTGTATAAAATTACAGTTATGTCCCCACTATTTGCATTTCTTGCCCCCAAAATAATGTGCTGCTATCTTTACCACCGCTGCAATTCTTCGGGCATTGCCACGGCTGCAGAATACGTTTCCACACCAACATCACCCATGGGTGCATCTGCAGCCCACCCATCTCTGCTGCCGTCTCTAACTCTGCACCACTCCCATCTCTACAGTCCGCCCTTATGAAACCATTAATAGGGAAAAGTCATTTTTAGAAAGAAAATATAATGGAGAATTCAGATAATGATAGGGGAAAGCATAATTTTAGACCCGAACCAGCCCGGCGGGTCGACCCGGGACCCGGTCGACCCGGGGCTGGAACCGGTCCAGGTGGGCTATTTGGACCAGGCAACAAAGGACCCGGTCAAACCCGGTCAACCCGGCCTTGACCCGGCCGACCCGGGGTATTGACCCGGCCAGGTCAACCCGTTTTAAAAATAAAACTATGTATATATGTTTATATGGTAAATATTTATCATGAGATACATATTATTAACACTTTAGTGTACAAATTTTATACACAAAAATATTTGTTACTTTTATGTATATTTATATGACAAAAGTACTCTATATATAATTTTAAAAATTTTAAAATTAATTATCCGATTCAGCAATTGACTCGGTGACCTGAGGGTTGAACTGGTGACCTGAGGACATGCCTAGGTAGATTACCGGGCCGGGTTTAAAAACTATGAGGAAAAGTGCTTTTTAGATTTTTAGGTGCTGGTCCATTTATCACTTCAAGAGGAAAGTATCAAATTTTATGATAAAATATTTTAAAAACCAATTATTTTATTTTCGCCACGTCCGATGCACAGCTTTGAGGATGGTGAGGAATTCCTATCGGACGTCAACCCCTTTGGCGTCCGATGGGACCGACGAGAACACGACCATGGCGAGTGGCGTCACGAACATCCGGATAACGACGGCTGGGACGAAGCCCGCGGACTGTGTCGCACAGGTGAGGCCAGCGACGGACATTGGGAGTCTAGCTTTTGGGTAGAGTTACCAGAATTTTCGGGCGAGCTCGGCACCGCGGAGTTTCTCGATTGGCTCGCTGCTGTGGAGTCGATCCTCGACTTCAAAGAGGTGCCAGATAATCGTCGGGTGGCGTTCATCGTGACAAGGTTGCGTGG